CATACGTAACAACCTTCTTAATCCCTTTCAATCCGGCTTCCGACCAGGACACAGCACTGTGACTGCTCTTGTTAGGATCACTGATGACATTAGGTATAGTATGTCGCAACAGCAACTCACTGTAATGTCATTGCTTGATTTCAGCAATGCTTTCAACAACGTTGATTTTGACATTTTGATTGCACTTTTACGCACTCTTAACATATCTCCAACGGTAATCTCTTGGTTTCATAGTTACCTGCATGGGCGTCGGCAGTGTGTTCGCATTGATGAGAGGTTCTCTTGTTGGTGTGACATTAATGCTGGCGTTCCACAGGGCGGCGTTTTATCTCCTCTTCTCTTCTCGATCTTTATTAATTCAATTTCCCGCGGTCTTACCTCATCCTACCAAATGTATGCAGATGATTTACAAATTTACACTCATCGGCAACTTGAAAACCTGCACGAAGCCATTGAGGTAATCAATAATGATCTCCGTCATATTTCGTAATGGCAGCTCTAGAATGGTATCCAAGATAGATTGGTTTCGCTTGCCGCAGGTTATTATAGACGACACCTACATTAAAATTAGTGACAATGTTAAAAATCTAGGTATACTTATTGATAGGCAGCTATCTTGGGCACTTCAATTAGTTGAGAGCAGCCGCAAATTGTTTGCGTCTGCCGCATCTCTCTGACGGTTACGTAATTTTTTATCTATTGCCACGAAAACTGCGCTTGCCCAAACTCTTCTTCTTCCAATTTTTGATTATGCTGATGCCCGCTATCTGGATTTAACCGAAGAACAGCTCAACAAACTCGAACGTCTACAAAACTTTTGCATCCGTTTCATTTATGGTCTGAGGAAATTTGATCATGTTTCCATTTATCGCAATAAGCTGAAGTGGTTACCCATTAGACTTCGCCGGAATGCTCATATTCTTAATCTTCTCTATGGCATCTTATTCATTCCTCACACACCACCTTATCTTAAGGAGCGATTTGAATTCGCCCATCAATACAACCCCCGACTTCTGCGCTCTTCTTCAACTCTCCAACTTAATATGCCATTGCATACCTCCCAGTATTACGACAAGTCCTTTACTGTTCAGGCTATTCGTTTGTGGAACGCTTTACCTTTGTCTATTCAACAAGCGAAATCATTGAATATATTCAAAAATATGGTAAAGTACACTACCTTAATTTAGTGTGACCTGGACTGCTTAGGTATTTTTATGTTTTGAAATTAGGTTTTAGACATTTTTATATTTATAAGTATGAGAATATACAGTAGTTTACGATATTCATATATATGTATTGGTTTTATTATTTATTTATAAATATATGTATATTTGTATTTATTTATCAATTTTTATCTGTTGATTAAGTAATTCTTCATACACCACCGTCTTTTTCCTGTGAATTATGTAATTACTTCCATCCAAAGGTTGTCTGGCAGAAATCGCTTAAAGCGATAAGACCGCCCATTGTACCACCGCTTATTTTTAATTTAATTGTATTGTATTTGTTTCCTTTTTTGGTGTACAATAAAGAATTTTTGTATTGTATTGTATTGTAACCTAATCCCTGTTGTTGGCGAGGTTAAATATCGTGGTATTCTTTTTGATTGTAAAATGAATGGCTCTCCTCATTGTGATTATGTTGTTAATAAATGTGAAAAGGTTCTTAACATGCTTAGATGTTTATGCGGGATCTGGTGGGGCAGCCATTCATACTCTTTAAAACTGCTATATAATGCTCTGATTAGGAGTATAATTGACTATGGATCTTTTATGCTGGAGCCATGTGTCTTGTCTAATCTTAAAAAGCTAGATAAGATTCAGTCGAAGGCCCTCAGAATAATAACCGGTGCTATGAAATCAAGTCCGATAAATGCGATGCAAGTGGAGTGCGTTGAACCTCCGCTTACCCTTCGTCGACAGTTTTTATCTGATAAATTCTTTTTCCGCATTATCCAATTTAATCGTCACCCTTTGCTGCAAAAACTTGAGCTATTAAACAATCTAATAAATACCCCTGGGTATTGGTCCCACAAAAGTACTCCTTGCCTTATAAATAGTTTTAGAAAATATCTTACATTACAAGCTCCAACTCATAGTTTTGACACTCACCCACTATACGGTAGTAATTATGAATGCCTTATTTTGCCCCCTGACGTCTGTTTTGATTTTAGTGAAGTTAACAGACGTTTTGCTAACGCTTCCTTTAACTTTAACTTAGATATTAATTGGCGTTTCTACAACCATATTTTCACTGATGCCTCTAAACTGAATAACTCGGCCGTAGGAGTGGGTATTCTTCATCGTCAATACAATATTATTCAAAAAACAAAGCTTCCTCCTGAAACATCCGTTTTCACTGGTGAATGCGTAGGTCTTCTTAAGGCAGTTGAATACATTCTCTTAATAAAATTATATATTATAATAATATATTATTATAACATAAAACAATAATATTTTCTGATTGTAAAAGAGCTCTGCAGTCATTATGTAAATTCCCTTTTAAATCAGGTAACATTTTCCCAATTATTTGTCAAATTCGTGAAGCCATATACAAGTGCCATTCAAAGGGTCTTTCTGTATTATTTGTGTGGATACCAAGTCACAGTGATATTAGAGGTAACGAAAGAGCCGATATCTTAGCTAAAGATGCAGTAAATAACGGCGATGTAGATTTATATAGGAACTTTGCTCATGACCTGGCTACACTACCTGCTATTTATCTTAAAGAATCTTGGCAAACTGTGTGGGAAACAAGCAATAAAGCTACGGGCAGATATTTTCGTGATATACAGCCCGACATCCCTGTCAAACTCTGGTTTTCGCGTATACATTTTGAGAAACGTGTTACTTCAATCATTACAAGAATGAGATTAAGACATACTTGCTCATCTAAACATCTTGCTAGACTTAATATAATATCTGATTCAATGTGCGAATGCGAACAAGACATTGGCAGTCTGAACCACCTTTTTTTTCCTGTCCAAGATATGACCGTGCTTCATTTTTTCAATCTATAATTTCTTTACAAATTCCTTTACCAACATCTATTCTTCTGTTATTATCGAATAATAATTATTCCGTTTACAATGTTTTGGCTCAGTTTATAAGGAAAAATGATATTAAAATTTAGATTATTATTTATTCAATTATCATTATTTTCAGCTAATACCATCTCATTTCCTTTCATAATTTCCATCCTTCATCGGTTAGATTTACTTATAAACTATAGATTTTTATTTACTACCTATCCTATCCTGTTGATCACCTTTCCAAAATTCCGTTTGCTTTTATTTTTATTCCGCGATTTCCTTTCCCCGTTTTTAATTTCATATTAATATCCATAAACCCAACCAAAGTTCCACAACAACAACTGCTACGACAATAATAATTATCCTGAAATCTTAACAAGCAAGAAAATATTTATTTGGAAGAATTATCAAAAATTTGCAGCTCAGTGGAAATTGCATATGGCCAAAGGCTGGACGCCATAGTGCCAAACTATAAGAGAAATGATATTTATGGCGCCGCCAAAATCTAAAGTGTGGACATATTTTATATCTCCCAAAAAAGTATCGATATGAGTAAGTACCGATACTTTTGAAGTACTCATATGATTAGTATCGCATGACGAATTGATTACTACTCATTTGAGTAGGCATCGATACTTTGGTAGTATCGGAACATCCCTAGTCCGACCACGCAGTACATTGTTTAGCGCACTAAAGCTTTTCTAGTACCGCCACTCGAGCGATCACTGTACCACTTATGTGGTCTGTGATTTGTACCTACGCAACTCGAACATTCGCAACGATAGCCGAAAATGCCTGATTATGCCTGCGTGTATCCTATCATCAGCATTACCACACAAAGTACAGGGTCAAGATCCCAAAAAGCTCAATAGTACTTATTGAATTTAAATTCAACTCTACGTGACTTGCAATTAGTACCGACTATCAAAGTCCAAAGTGTCAAACTTGATATGTACTTCACAATACTTAATCATAATATCGACGCCGGAAAGCGATCGTATCGTATCTCGAAAAATAGGCCGAAAAACTGTTTAAAAAAAATATTTCTCTTTAATTTGAATTAATAGAAAGTCAATTTTAAAGTAGGACGTATATAATCATACTTTAAAATTGACTTTCTACTCGGCCCCGGTGTAGTCCTATTTTTCGAGATACGACAAGATCGCTTTCCGGCGTCTATATTTTCAACTAATAAAGTTGCAAGGATACCTTGAATACTATATCCTGTTTTTACATAAAAAGACATTATTTGTCGTCTTCATTATACTTTAGTCATTATATTACAGCCGTCCGTTTACTAAAACGCCGCTATGTGAAAAAAATATTTTTTTGAGATATCAAAAAAAGACCATAACCCAATTTCAGAACATCGAAATTGTTTTATGACATTTTAGCTATATGGGTATATATGCTACAGTGTTGCCATATGCACCGTAATTACGGTAAATTCACCGTACTCAGCATAAATTTACCACCTACCGTCGACACGTGGCAACGGTAACAAAATCTACCGTAATCTGCAGGGTTCAAATTTTTTGTAGTAAAAATAGTTAAGGAGTGAATTTCACAGTTGAGAATAATAAGTTATTGTAACCAAAAACAAAACGCAATTATTATTCGTGGGATTCCCCGGTGAACAGGGATTTCCCGTGTAATTATAATGCTACCAATTTGAGTGGGCGTACTAAACGTTTTTGTTTCAAATAATATTACAAGAATTTAATTTAGTTTCTTTTTAGAATTTAAATTTTTTGCATCATTTGTTTCTTTGAATAGCTAGTCTAATCGTGAAACAGAAGTTATTTAATTCACTTTTTCCTATTAATTTTAAAAGAAATGAGTAAAAGTGACTCCGATTCTCAGTGTGAAGTGGAAATGCCGAAGAAAAAAAGAAAACAATACAAACAGAAGTTCCGAGAAGAATGGTTATTGAAACCAGAGTTTCGTGATTGGTTAAGGAAGGACAGGAAAGACGAGTACATTGCAATATGTAACATGTGTAATAACAAGACATTGTCAGCTGAAATCAGCGTACTCACGAGACATAAAGAGACAGCTACTCATATCGATAATGCAAAAAAATTTAGCTGTTCAACATCAAGAAAAACACAGCAGTCAATTGTTAGTGCTTTTCAGAATAGGCCGCAAACACTTTTTGAAAATGATATGACCAAAATTTCTACCATAAAACTGGCTGCTTTCGTCGCTGAACACAGAATATCTTCAAACACTATGAACCATCTCACCGATTTATTACCCCAATTGTGTCCCGATTCTAAAATAGCTAAAAACATAAAATTAAAAAGAACAAAAGTACAAGCTGTAATAAACAATTGTATAGGAGCATCCGAAAAGCAAAGTTTAATAAAAGATTTAACAATTCAAAAGTTTTCAATATTAATTGACGAAAGCACAGACATCAGTGTTATAAAAACTGTAGCTGTTGTAGTGAGGTATTTCGATTCAAATCTGGGCCAAGTAATCAGTCGTTTTTGGGATTTGATCCAATTATTTGATGCAAGTACAACAGATCATTCAGCTAATGCTGAAAAATTATTTACAATAGTCGTCGATTCCTTTCAAAAACATTCCATCCCTTTGGAAAACATAATCGGTTTTGGTTCTGATGGTGCCAATACTATGATAGGCTGCCGAAATTCTGTCGCCAGCCGATTCCGGAACCTTTGTCCAGGAATCATCATATTGAAGTGTATTTGTCATTCTTTGCATCTTTGCGCCAACGATGCCACCAAAGAACTTCCTTATACCTGTGAAAAACTGGCCCGAAATATATATAATTATTTTAAAACCAGTAGCAAAAGACAAAGTGAATTTGTGGCTTTTCAACAGTTTGCGGAAGTAGAGGTGCATCGAATTCTACGGCCTGCACAAACTCGTTGGCTTTCACTAAATGCCGTAATTGACCGAATATTGGAACAGTGGGACGCATTGCGCCTCTACTTTGATGCAAAATGGCTTACAGACTCAGAATGCCAAGAAATCCATACCCATCTCAACGACCCTGTGATAAAAGCATATTATTATTTCTTGGGATGGATGTTACCTAAATTCACCGCAGTAAATAGTTACTTCCAAAGTGAATCTGTAGTGATCACTAAATTAAATATAAAAATGACAGCTTTGTATAGAGAGTTAATTCAGTTAATTTTTCCTGTTAGCTATATAAATTCAATTGCTATAGAAGCGATTGATCCGACTGAAGAAAAAAATCACAAAGAATTAAAGGATATTTATCTAGGTCTTGGAGTTCAGAAGCAGTTAGAACTGATTAAAGAAGATCGAAAGGAAATATTCCGGCAAAAATGTAAACAATTTATAATTAAAGCGTGCACAGGCATCCGGAAGAGATATTCAATAAATGACACAATTATGACAGCTATATCAAACTTTGATCCAGTAACTTGTGTTTCTGAAGAAAGGCTAGAAAGCCTTGCACCTATATTTACGCTACTTCCAAGATTGATACCAGAGACGTTAAATGAACAGCAGGAACTCGATGACGAATGGCGCAGGCTACTTATTCACTTACCAAAAGATTTAGACGCAAGTCAGCATCCCCCTGATAAATTTTGGCATCAGGTTGCGCAAATAACTATAGATAACAGAAAGGTTTTTAAGCAACTACCGTCTTTCATGCTCGGAATGTTGTCTTTGCCGCACTCTAATGCTGAATGCGAGCGTATATTCAGCAAGGTGAACGACATTAAAACAAAAAAACGCAATAAATTAATAACCCGCTCTATAAAAGGGAATCTTTTAACGCAACAGTCCATAAAAAGGCATGGACAAAACTGCATTAATTTTAATCCAGATCAGGAAATGCTGAAAAAATTAAATAAGAACATTTATGAAAATGAGGAACTGTTAGTATCAGATTCAGACTAATTTTTACTAAGAAATTATGTTTATGTTAATATTATTTATGTTTGTAACGCTATTACTCCGCCATTTGTGATTCGATTTCGACTATTTTTTTCATTGGAAATGGGATACTTCAGTAGTGGTCCCATTTAAATTTGAAGAAAATATTCTACTTCCAAAGGTGTCAAATTAGGGGATGAATCCGGTTTTATTAAATTTCAACCACTTTCATTAACTTTTTAGTTTAAGTTTGAACATTTAATTACTTAAAGCAAAAATTTTTGTAACTTCTATTATTTTAGTTTATTTTCTACTTTTCATTTATAATATTATAGTCAATTGTGCGCTAAAGTGTTTTTTTTTTACTTATAAGGTACGGTAAGATATTCACTCTTATAAAAGGTTAATTCTTATTATACCGTAATTACACCGTTTTTTTTTATCCAAACACCGTAATTTCTTAGAATCTACCGTATTTTTTTAGCGGAATCACCGTCGACCAGATTTCGGACATGGCAACACTGATATGCTATATAGTCTGATCTCCGGACACGTTAACAAACTTTAAATGTTTTTAAGTAGAAAATTTTACGATCTTATGCTTTTTAAAACGAATATTTGCTAGTCGCATTTTAGTTGTTAGTAAACGGCAGATTATAGGTCTGGACTTTGGAACGTTTTAATCGCATGCAGCATAGAGTTGGGTTTAAATCTTATGTGTTAAGCTTGTTTACACGACCCTGTACCAGAAAGTGTCCAAAAATGTATGCCCTTAACCAACTAAAGAAAATGGACTTCAAAAATGTTGTTTTTCGTTCACTTTCGAAGATTACGATCAACTACCTGGCAACTAAATTTTTAATGGGACCAGCTTAAAAAAAAGATAAAATATCTCGCGTTACTCATGCGGCTAAATATCTCATTATATATTGTTAGTTTTACACACTTGTGTTAACTAGAAACTAGTTAAATGGAGGACAATTAAATTATATACCATACCAATTTTAACAATGTATCTACAGTTAAATAGAAAACTTACATTCCTACCTATTAAAGACTGTTGGAAGTCTCTTTTAATTGCATTTCCTGCTAGCTTGGTCCTGGAAAATCACAGATAACTTTAATATATCAATAAACTTCTTGGTTTTGTAAATCCGTGTTTGTAAAACTTTGACACTTAAATGACTAGTTAAGCGCAAATGACCACTTTAGTCCCTGAATTCTTTAGTGCCCATGGAAAAAATACTGTTTCAAAATAATTCTTGAACATGGCGCTGCTACACCATCCTGATTTAGTGCAATTATATGTAGTCTTTGGTGGTTCTCCATTCACCCATTATGTGTATTTTTGTGGCTTTATAGACAACATATAAAACAACATATAAAGCAAGACACTTATCGCTTGCGGTGGCTGTAACGATGAGAGAAATGTTTCCCTTGGTGGAATTGGCTATTCTCTCCGGATACTTAAAACCTTGGCAAAAAAAAAAAATTGGATGAAATTAAATTGGATTGAATCGAGTTAAATTGAATTGAATTGGTTAGAATTTGAATTGAACTAAATTTGTTTTGTTTTGGGTGTTTACGAGTGGCGTCCCTGTCCCTGTAGGGTCCTGACAGAATACCAGCGTCGTGGGCAGCCGCGTCATTTATGCTGAGTCAGCGTCTTTTCATTGCCATGGCTTCCAAGACAGATTCTAGTAGAATATATTACTGTGTTACATCTAAGTTAATGTCTGTATCATGTGTTTGTGTATGTATTTGTCAAGGTGGTGAATAAAGATTTTATCTATCTATCTAATATATGTACATATACCTTTGTAGGTAAGTTAAGATAGGTATGGTAAGAGCAATTACTTCTTATGAGAAAATCACAATTTTTTTTAATATATCATTTTGAAATGGTTATTATTATCATTTACTTAGAAGAGCACTGCTCATCGGCAAAGGATGTTACCCTAGTTTTAAAATCTAAGATGTTTCTTAAGGAGAGGCGACATCCCGAGCGAACCTACGTGTGCTAACTTGACTAATCACGATATGTTTTCATACATCTTTTCACACCACGAATTAAGCGAACCGAGGTAACTGAACTATGTCTGGTTAGCCAGTATGTAATGGTACTTATGTATAACAAAAGATACTACAAATACACAAATAAAAATCATCTAACTGGTTGCACTGATCGTAAATACAAATTCTTATAGAAACTGAGGTTTTAACACTCATTTTCTCTAGAAATACCTAATTAAAAAAAGTCCAGATAAAAAGTCGCTATTTAGTCGGTTCTAGTCGCAAAAAACTAGATTTAGTCGGCCGGCCGTTCAAAAGTTATTAAGGTATAAGCTTAATCCAGCATGGACAGTAAAATACATCAATAACTTCAAAATGGAGTACCAACCAAATCCCTTTTTTTGTGTAATCAGATATAAGCTAGGTGTTGTGGTTATAAGCTTATTCCAGCGACTTTTTACCTGACTAGTCAAATTTGATAAACTCAACCATGGTCACACTGAAATAAGGCACACAGAATTAAAGTTTTGCAGCAAATTGACAGTTGTCGCAATGGCCAAACAGGATCATAATGATGACAGGCAGCAGTAAATTCTTTTTCTAGCATCTTTTGTTACCATGAATAATTGTTTATGTTTCATGCATTTGGTTTCAAATGTTGTCTGGCAATGACTGATTAGTTGTTATAGTCAAAAAAGTAATTGCAGTTTTTATTTTAAATACTTTCTATTCCGACTATTATATTAACAAAAACCATCCTTATTACCTAGTCTACTTACTTGGGTTGTCACATTAATTTTTATTAAACACATTAAATTGATTAAATGCAATAAATTTATTCAATACATTAGATTTATTGTGTTGATAAAAGCATTCCACCCTATTAACATAAATATAAATGTTTATTTATTTAGGTATAAACCCATTAATAATATAATATTACAAAATTACAACTTTCAGTAAATATCACTTGGTGCTGGTCGTCCAAACAAAAGCTTCCATGACACGGGCTTAACTAATTGATCCAGGAAATCTTTTTTTTCACTAAACAGTGGTACCACATCTGTTAAGCTGTTCACCATGTCATATGCATCAGGTATGTTGTCACCCTCTGAGCAGTATTTGTATAGAATTAAACAAGGCATTGCATTTTCTTTGCACACCTCAAACAGCAGTGATGCAAATCCTCCACCAAAAATTTTAACTCCTCCATCAATTAATTCATGTTCTAACCAATTCTTTGATAGCAACTTGTTTTTGTAAATACTTAATTCACTAGCTAAATATCTGAATGGGCTTGTCTGGATGTATTTCCTTTCGTGAGCGAAACTGCTGGTTAAGATAATGACATCCCTTATGCCTTGACCTTTATATGACACTATAAGGTCCTCCAGGAACTCACGCGCGTATTTGTATACCAGCGGGGCTCGCACTTGCATTACAGCTACATTCTTCGCCGCGCATTTATATACTTCACAACAACTTGATAGGTTGTTAGAAAGTAGATCATATGGGTCATATCCTAAGACGGGAATTAGCGCGGGACTATAGATGGAAGAGATCCTCTTCATACTCAAAGACGAAATTAACAAGTCACAAGCCAGCTGGCCGACGTTCCCCACGGCTACACTAGGTATTATTAGAGTGTACCCTTCCAAGTTGCCTTCATCAGTGTTCTTCCAAAGAGTTTTTTGAGACATAATTATAGCCGAAATATCACAGAATCTGTTTAATACAGTCATATACAGTACATAACAAAAAACCGTAGTTTATTATTTATTTCCTTTATGGCCGCCACTAGGCTTGTGCTAGTGTCAGTAAGAATAATATAAAAATTTTGGCGATTTCGTCAGTGTCACTGTTCGTTGAAAACTTCAAAATCCTCAAAAAACCTCACCGTAGAGTTTAAGGTTATAAAGAATGATGTGACAAAAATGACAGGTACAAACTTTTTTTATTTGTTGAGCAGCTTTAGCTACGAGGCTATCAGCTTACAACTACGACTATGATGTAAAATAATAATAATAATAAAGAAAGTTTTTACAAGGAGCCAAAACTAGAGATGATACGGATAGTGATTTGGCCGGATTCTGGATATCCGGTGAACACCTAGACCGGGTAGCCGGATATTCAACTGCCGGATATCTGACCCACAACCGTAAACATGTCGCGACCAGTTTACAGCGCGCATCATCGTGATTGATATCACCGAGTATATTACCAGAAATAGAGACGAAATAAGGGCCATATATTCCTGGTTCCACATTAGCGATACAGCTCTTATAAATATCAACCACATTTATACAAAAACTTTGTACTGAAATATAGACAGGCCAACTACAGACCTGTGTGTACGTCTCCGTATATTCCAAAAAATATTCTGAATTTATTGTAATAAAGACAATATCTCTAACAATGCCGTGGCATTCTATTCGGTGGTGTGGAAAAAACAGCAAAACGTCTTATTGCAAAACAAACGGAATCACATTTCATTGGTAATTTAATATGTAATTTTGCAATTTTCGTCCATTATAGCAAAGCCCAAGTTAATTAGTCGATTTGAAGTGAAACAGTTGACGACAGCCATTGACGACACCCGTCAGTTGTTTCGAACTCGGGCTAGCCAATCGGAGCGCTGTTGTCACAGTAATGATATGGCAGAATAATTTTCAAACAAATTAAATGACATTTCGTCTCTAATTTGGTTATATACATGATTGCACTTTCACATTGACGATTTGATTAATTTATTCGATAATACAAACAAATGCATAACAGAAAAATGTTATCAGTAAAAAATCGCAAAGTTTACCACTTAATGCAGAAAAACTGGTCTTCATCCACCATAATTTGCCTTTTTTGCAATTCTTAGTTCTTTCAGTTACGCGTAATAAATAAACAGATTGTTAATGATCCTGTAGTTGCTGTATATTCTATTACCAACATATCTAATCAATAAATAAATTTATTTGGTGTACTCATTATGAATTTTTCTCAGTTTTAAACTTCCGGTATCCTAGTAGTAGATAGTAATAATAGGCCAGATAGGCGGGATACCGGATAGTTACCGGATATCCGTTTCATCTCTAGCCAAAAGAATTTATGAAAAAATTAAAAATAATATTATACAAATTGAAATTGTTAAAAGTCCTTGTAAAGTATTAATTAGGTAAATTGTCTGTTTATTACAATATCATTGCTTATACAAATAAATAACAATCATTGGAAATAATGGACAATAAATGAAAAATAAATGTTAGAGGTCACTGGGTTCGAATGAATAGCATTGTAACAATCGTTTTAATTTTTTAGTTTTTTTTCGAGATAATCACAATTATTATCATCAAAGTAAAATATATAAATAAAATATAAATGTGTGCGTTACTATTTTCTAAAACACTCTACTTAAACTTGAAAAAAAATAAAAATCTATGTAAGTTGTGTAACACCAACCATAATCTTCCATGAGACTTATGATAATTTAAAAATGTTCAAAAAGCTTTACTACACTTTGTAATTTGTGCAACACCACCATTAAAACGTTTTGACGCTTATGTTAGAAACGCAAAATGCCAATGACCATTGGTAGAATTAAATTTTGTTTAATTAAGTTTTGATAGAATTAAGTAATGTATATCATTTTGCCTCATTTAAGCACATTTATCTAGCAAAAAAGTAATTTTATTGAGTTTTGTGGGCACACAATTTATATTTTAAGTTTCATTTTAAAAGTAACATTTTGAGTTTTAATTTGTATTTATTTTTAAGTATTTTATTAATTTTATTTATTTCTTTCTGGCTTGTGGCATATTTGTTTAATGAGCGTTTCATAGCCCATGGAAAGGGTGAATTATAAATATAGGTAAAAGTTTCGTTTCTGAAGAAGAAGAGAAACTAATGATTAGGCAGTATGGTCTCCGACCTTTGCCTGTACCAAACGGAACGAAGGAAAAAAGTTTCGTTTCGTCGATTTTGACATTTTGAGAAGTTCATCCCGACCCGAGTAACCACACTACATCATACTTCTTTAAGTGATCTATTTTCGGTTTCGCTTTTCGCTCGACGGTTTCACAAAATTTTGAAGATACTGTAGTAAAGTTTTTCATGAACATTAAGTTCTAAATTATCACATTTATATAGCTTATTATGAACGAACAAGAACCTGCTGACCCGCAGTTACAAAATTTCATCTTGGCTGAAACACAGAAACAACGTTTTCAGGTTATTACTCAACATATATTAAATTTTATTACGTAGAAAGACATACATCATTAGAAAGGAATACTTGCAATTATTTATTGTGTGTAAATTTTTGTATGCAGTTCTCGGCAAGTCGTACGTGGTGCTATAACTTGCAGGCGTGTATGTACGCATGTATCTCTGCTCACTGACCTTTGTCCTGTTTAATATTACTACTTTGCAAAATAAAGCTACGTTCTGGTACAGTCACGTTCACAAAGATGTCCACATGTAGCGAAATTAAAATCGAAAATGTACAATTACCAAAACTGCTACAATTCTATAATTGTTCCCCAATTACCAACATGGCCACTACTTAGCAAAATATTTTACGATTTTATTAGTACTTTTGATTTTGGTACTCATAGTATAGGAAGTTTCCTAATTTGAGACTAGGCTATTGATATGGTGGTCTGAGACTTTCTACTTAACAAAATCATATTTTAATTTCATTATGTGTGATATTTATTTACAGTGCTTCTATTTTCTCAATTAACCTCGGTAATTATCAGATTCCCGAATGCACTTGATTATTAATTTCCATGCCTGTTAACAATTTAAAATCAATAATAATTTGAATTTTGAACAACATATTTTATTGTTGTTTTGTCTTGATTTCTGTCTAAGTTATATATTTAGTTTATATTTTTAGTAACATTACAACATACTCACACAACAATAAGCAATTTAACAAAAATATAAAGTAAATGAACTGAGGTTCTTTTACATAACTAAAATTGAATATTTTTCCAGTTATTAATAATTTCAATCAGTCTGTATCAGAACGCATTTATTCATCTGACATAGCTATGTTAGTATGTTCTCCATTGATGGAATAATCTCTTTCCGAGCTGCTTGAACAAGTGTCAGCTTCTTGTTAAAAATACAAGTACACTCTGTAAATTATCTGTTGTACCTGTGACTTTATTGGTTTTCTTCTTATTGTATAATAAATAAAAAACGTAATGGCAACTCTATATACTTCCAAGTCAACTGAAAGCGTCCGATCTGTACTAAAGGCAGAGGGCAACTGAATAAAACCTGTTGACAGCTTAAACACGAAGTTTGTCGAGGGTCATTGAGCAAATAGAAGCTCTGTACATGCATATGACTATACAAAACCAGAACACTATTAGAGTTGTTAATTTATTCTATACTAAGTGCCATATAGCAGGCCAATAGTGATCATTTAACCTTTCCTACTGTGGTATATGTAATTTGTGAAAACAATGCTTTCCAATGTTCCCTGTAACAAGTGAAAGTGTAATTGTTGACATATCATGATAGAAATCACCTTGATATACAGATGCCTCAGGGGTTGTAAACTTTTAAATAATTTGATATTATGAAACATGTTAATTATACATTGAGTTCTTAGGTTTTCGCGATTGTTTTACATATAGGAAATGAAACTGTTTTTCCAGATCTAAATCGCGTATATTTGTTTTTTCAAACAAAGAAACATTGCAGGCCCTTTACAGGTCCCATGGTCACGATTGGCTGAGGTGGTACAGTCATCAACCAGTTATGTCTCATAACTGACATAACTGGTTGAAGACTGTATGTGAGTACGGTTTCATTTCCTATGTTAATCATGTATTATGCCTGTATTTGCAAGGAATAATAACATAAACACTAAGCAGAACCATCACTTTCAGAATCTGATCCAATTAAGGCGTTATTTTTCGAAAACAATAACAAAGTAAAACAGTAAAATTAATCAATGCCAAAATTAATAATATTAATTAACAAAGCAATATCAAGAATTAAACTAAAATATTTCCTAGACCAGACCGAATGCAAGTTTACTCAGACATAGTGTGTTTGATAAATAAAAGTGTTAAGTAGGTAAATAGAAGTGGGGATAAGTTATAATTTTGTATTCTTTATTTATGTCTTTATTAAAGGACAGTTTCTTTTTTGTTATGAGTGTTAAATTCATTTTGTATTTTTAAAATTATGAAGTAAAAGAAACTGAATTATAGTTATTAATTATTATGCACAGTTTTAAATATTACTGTGAAGTAGTGACAAACTGATAATTAATATAATAAATTATAATTATAATAAAAAAATGTATAATATTAAAAACATGAATTCACAGAGTGATAGTTTTTCTTTTGATACCAAGTGGCGGTATGAACAAATCGTAAGGGAACACGTTTGCCCATAGCACACACTCAGAGCTTTAAATCGCAAATAATCTGACGAACATTACCGCGCCTGTCGCCCTGGAACATAAGTTGATAAGTTCCATTTGCGTGTAATTGCACCAAAAGTACGCCTACAATCACGTTTTTAAGTTATGGTATGGCTTTTATTGCTTTCATAACTGCTATTGACATGTTAAATGGCACAAACTTTAGTAATAATTTCTTTTGCAGCCAGTATATTGATTGTTTGTTCATGCGAAATTGCAGGTGCTGGTTCACAGTCTCACCGACACTTGCTGGGACACATGTATGGGCCGACCATCAATCCGTCTCGACTCCAAGACTGAAGTCTGCATCATGAATTGTGTGGAAAGGTTCATTGATGCCACAACTTTTATTACTAAACGTCTTATGAATACCACCAGGTATCGCTCTGACGCTCCCCTTGAATTTCAGTGAGTACATTAATATAAAAAAGACAATATGTTTTCTAACTTTAGAAACTATTTAAACCGCCACAAGAAGAAGTTGCTTGTCACTGGTGCCGTATTTGGGGGCCTTTATTTGTTGACTAGTTATGCCCAAAGAAAACTGCGGGAGTGGCAAGAAAATGAGGCAAAGAAATTCTTTGAAATGACTCGTAAGAAACAACATTTTGAAAGCACAGAGCGCACTTGCAATCAGACAATACTTTCTTTGTCCAAAATAGTATCAGAGAGCATTCTGAATTTGTTGAACACTGAAGAAATTGTTCAGAAGCTACAAGAAAACCCAGATAATAAATTGGCGCTATGGGAACAAATGAAAATTATGATATTTACCAGAATATGCGCTCTTGTATATGCGCTATGCGTTTTGCAGGTGACGCTTCGAGTGCAGCTTAATATTATTGGTGGTTATCTCTACAGAGATTCTGTACATGAGACAGAGTCACTGATAGACAGTGAACTACAAGCCAAATATTTGTCATTATGCCATCATTTTGTTGGGAAGGGAGTGGAGGATTTGGTAAAACAAATAGAAAAAGCTGTGAAAAGGGTTATGGATCCTGTTTCTCTTAAGAAAAAAATTAATTTGCGAGAAATGGAACAAATGTTTTGGTCAATACAAACTGTTTTGTGTACTGACACTACTGAAGGTGATCCAGTACAGAAAATGGTGCATTTTCTTGTGGGACACACAGAGTTAAATGATGCAAAGCTGGATACCATTGTTAAAGAAACAATGGATATATTGGAAAGTGACGAAGTGCAGTCCATTACTATGTCATCAGTTAGCAGGAGTTTTTCTTCTGTAATTGATGAAATTGCTAATTTGTTTGCTACTAAATCTGTGCCTGCAACTAAAAATCATTTGGAGATTGAAGACAATCATGTAGTAACAAATGGAGCTCTAAGACTAGATGCACTTTCAAATGCCTTTGTGGATGTAAATAAGGCAGAGATGCACTTAGTGAAATTATTGCCGGTAATACACGAACTTTTTACAAAAAACACTTGCAAGAACAACACTAACATTCCAGACCTGTTAACACAGCAACTAACCCTGAATGACAAGCTGAAGCTTCTTGGGGCAAACATTTATGAGGTATTTAGTAGTACTTAGATTATTCAAGTTGACTAATATGTCAATGTGGCTAATATTTTTCATCACAACTACTGTATGGGTTTTGGTTTAGTTTAAACTAGCTAGTAACTTTAGCTGTGTAGTAGGGCATAACAATTTAAGTAGTATATAAAAATTTTATGGGCTCATTATGACTCCTATTCTTGTTACTTGTTTAGCTTCATGTTTATAGTGTTTTAATTGCAGTGTTTGCACTGACGTGAAGAACCATGCAAATGTTACGCATATGAACCTGAAATGCGTCCAGTGGTTTTTCCACTTGACAGGGATAAGGCCCTAACTCACAAATGTTCTAATTTACTTCGATGGACAACACTGTCTATTTTTTGTCACGTCCACAAATGTTGCTCTTTTCTTGTTATCTTTTCACATTGGTACATAGTTTAACCTTGTTAACAATAATTTTAGTCGTACCAGTGTGGCTTAGAAATTTAAGTAGAATTTACATTATAATCCGTATCCAGAAAGACTAAATAACCTCGAGTGAAAAATGATTGCTCAGGAGGTCGTTGTCGACACTTAAAAGATTATACAGCTGTAATAGTCATCAGAAGGATGCATCATTATACGTGAAACCCCCAGTACCCTACAGTGTTCAAAAATCCTTTCTTTATCTGGTCTAGACATTCTGACTAAAACTTTTAATTAAAACTCCCGATTTTGTATGGTTTTGACATATTTTAAAGTTCTTCAGCCTGTAAAAATTGTAAACAGTTAAATAAAACATACTAAATGGGTAAATAACTATCTAAATAGTATTTAGATAGTTATTTACTTCTACAAATAGTTTATGTATGACAGTTGAAGGTAGTATTAAATATGTTATATTGATATTAAATAATAATAATTATTATTTTCACCTAAAATAATAATAATTATTATTATTTTAGGCGAAAATGAACGCTAATTTGTCAAGTGATGTGGTTATAAGGAATAGTTATTACGTGCATTGGATGTGGTTGGCTGTCCCAGAGTTATAACGTTTTTAGCTCATACGCTGATTGCTGAAGGACTTTCTTGGGACTGTACTAGTTCTACGATAATTTTTTTCCTTTCAAGGCAACATTGCTAGAACCATTATAAATTTGCTTATTATAGCGAAGAGCCTTTTGTGGTCGGATTGTACTTTAGTTGAATATGACCAATAAAAATTGTTATTGATTTATACATATCGGATCACGGTTTGGGAACTGCATTGGCCCACGTCATGGAAGACGGATATGAAAGTCCGATGATGATGGGGTCGCGGACATTACAACCTCATGAAAGACGGTACGGGCAACTTGATAAACAGGCAGTCGGAATAATGTTTCGAAGCATCATTAGTTTTTAGCCGAACGGAAGTTTTGCATAATCACCGACCATAAACTTTTGGTTAGCTTACTTAACCCGGAGAAACCGATTCCAAACCAAATATCGCTCAGATTGTTAGGACTGTTTTACAACTTATCGGGTACTAACAGTATTGTCAAATATTAACCGGGCAAGTCGATTGGAAATTCGGATGCTTTAAGCAGGTGGGCAGTGCCTGTTTAGAAGTATTTTTGCTAGAAGAAAAACCGCTTGGATTGTACCTGGTGTAAAAACGATTTCTGATGGAGCTAAGGAAGATCGTGTACAACGAAATGTGCTTTTTAACGTACTTGATAGCTGGCCGCGCTCTAATACGACTTGACTTTTACCCAATAAAGAATGTTTATAGTGAGCTAACAGAGTATATTTATGTTATATATCATACTTTCTAAATAATATTTATATTATTATGCCTTCCTCGCTCCCGAACATGGTACTCAAATTATTACAAGCTCTACATGGAAGCATCGTGCGAACGAAAGCATATCCGAGAGGATACTTTTGATGTGTAGGCATGGATAAGGATATCGAGAAGGTGATGGCTGTATGTGAAAACTGCCAGTCAGTGACGAATGACCCATTTAAGGATCCACAAATATGGATAAGTCGTGGAGGCGGGTGCACATTGATTTTGCTGACCCGTTTCAGGAAAAATGTTTCTACTCCTAATAGTTTAATACAGCAGATGGCTAGAATGCACACGTATTCCGCGCGGACCAACTCGTGCTCGTGCGCGTGTATGGGCCAGGAATGAAGTGGGTGAAGGGTTCTGTAGAGAAAGTGGATGAACCCAATACTTGTGTGGTGATAACGGAAGATGGCGACCTAGTAGCAGTAGAGTCCTTGTGAAAGAGTTTCTACCTCCAAGCAGTGAAGTGACAATTACTGCGTTCCGGTTTTGAAACGTAAGGGTGCTTGTGAAATTACATGCACATGCGACTTATCAACTTACGTCTCAGGGTGACAGGCGCAGTTGCAGTGCCCTTCAGATTTTTGCGACTGCAACTGTTATGGACAGGCATTGTCTTACCACCAGGCACACGACTTGCTCGTCCCGTCACTTTATATTATAAAAAAAAACCAACAACTTGCACCGTAGCCGACCAAATAATAGCTCGAGCGTTAAGCCAGCCGACAGCGATTTGAGTTCGACTCTCTGCCCTCAACAACGTCGAATCCTTCTATTAAAATACCACCCCCAGAGTTATGGCTATGGTATGGTTAATCAGAGTGTTATTATTTAATAATTTTGATTACTTAATTACGGTAAAAAGGTATGTTGTGTGTTTAGATTGGTATTTCCTTTTACAAATCGTTTATGTATGATGGTTGAAGGTAGTATTTAAATAAGTGAGTTTTTCTTCTAATATAAATATCATATAATAATATCTTTTAATAAATATTTCTTAAAATTATTTTAACAGCAATTTAACTGGAAGCTTTACCGCTTTTATATAATACACCCGTAAGATCAAAATATTGAAAAATTCCTTAAAACTTTTATAATTTTTTTCTTAGTTATTTCGCATTAGTAGCTCTCAAATATCATTTTTAAATGTAATGAAATGGTTATGGCACTATGGTCATGGTAAATGTAATCACTCATACTATTTTTATAAAAAAAAACTATTTTAACATTAACGCTGTTAATGCCATGGGATATCTGCGATATGCGTGTCTGCTATGTGTCTGCAGTTTTTTTTTAAATAAATAGTCTTGGAATTTTCTAGAATGCAAAAATTCCGAGAATAAAAGGTCGAAGAACTTTGAAGTAAGGTTTCTTCAAAAGCATACAATATTGGCACACGGGGGCTAAGCTTCACCTGAAATGTCTGGTGTGACACGATGTTGGATCACTGTGCCCTGTTCTAACTAACTTAAAATGTAGGTATTGTGTAGAATGATATTCATATTATGTTATCGGAGTACTGAAGTGTCCTGACGTGACAACCTTTTATTTATGTGCATTGTGAATTGTTTCCGCTATATGTAAAACAATCGATGCGGAATTTGGTTATATGGCCTATGATCATTAATAGCTGTTACACACCGCGGCTTTTAGCAACGATGCAAACGCGATGCAATAGCTAACCGTCTACCTTTACACACACGCGTAACTGAGCAGCGTTGCAAACGCGCGATTGCATTACACTTGTGATTTATAAGTGATTGCATTGATTCAGTCGCGCGTTTGTATCGATGCAGTGGCGCCTTTGCATCGATGCAATCGCCTATAAATCGCAAGTGTAGCAATGCAATCGCTCGTTTCATGCACGCACGTTGGCATCGCTGCTAAAAGTCGCGTGTAACAACTCTTAGTATGAAGCAGATACTCTGCTTCACTATACAGTTATTTAGTAGATTTTACAGCCAGGTAAATTGTGTTATATTATGTTATTGAAATTGTAACAATTTTTTTTTCGAAGTTTTATTACGAAGCTCCCACATAACAAATTCTAATAAGGTATTAGCAAAATCTGCCTGACTGTAAATACGTCATTAAGTAAAAATAATTTTGTATACCTATTGATTATTTTGGGGGAAATTAATAAATGCGATTCATATATAAGTGGTGGCTTTGAATATTATTTAAACATCCTACAAAACATGTGTCCTCAAGACGGCTATAATGGTTTTTGGAAAATATTTCTAAATCTTTTTTGGGTATATCGTGTATAATATGTTCCTATACAGAGTGTCGCGACACATTTAAAAGGAAATAATAATAGTAAATGACTTTGGTTCTGTCCGCTACAGTGAAAGACTTACTTTAATTAAAGTAAGAATTGAAATTAAAATGTATCATTTCTGTTTAGAACTTCTATAAAATGAAACCAAAAATAATGGATAAAAGTGCTATTTAATTGAGTTGAAAGAAAGGGTCAGTTTAAGTAACGTAATATTTTAAATTAAAAACGACGTGCTACCTCTTAAACCACAGATCATACACTCTATATTTGTATTAAATTAAACTATACGTAGCGCCATTTATTCTCCTGTAGCGTTACTTCGTGAGTTTATTGTCCAAAATAAAAAGTTCCATTTACTCCTATCTAGACGGCGCTTATCTGAGGTATATGTATAAAAGTATGCAAGTACATTTTAAAAACTATTAAATTACTGATACTAAATTACTTTAAATTACTGATGCCTACCGATTTTTAACCGACTTCAAAAAAAAGGAGGAGGTTCTCAATTCCGTTTTACGTCTCAAGTATGTTCTTTTTGTTTTTTTTTTGTATATATGGTACGCGATAACTCCGGTATTTGTGAACCGATTTTCATGATTCTTTTTTTGTTGGAAAGAGGGTATCTCCATAGTGGTCCCGTTTAATTTTTAAGAAAATCATCGACCTCTATGGGTGGCTACCAGTGTTGGGCGTTAATCAATTAAATTTCAATCAGATTAAAATATCAATTCAACTGAAATCAATTACAATTAAAATCAATTACAATGTCGCAATTAATTTTAATTGCAATTGATTTCAATTGAATTGTTATAAGAAACAATTGAAACTAACAATTAAAACCGAAACTACCGAATAAAAGTGTCATTACGAATATGGCACTCATTGCTAAATCCAAGATGGCGTGCAAGATTTTGAGTGAGTGGGTGGGTGAGGAGTGTGTTAGGGGTGGGCTAGGGAGTGGGTTTGTGGGTGGGTCACTCACCCACCCACTCCCCACTCACTCACGCGCTCACACACCCGCTCACTGACTCACTCACTCATCCACCCAATCACCCACCCACTCACGCTCACCCACGCACTCACCCACTCACTCACTCACTCACCCACACACTCACCCACTCACCCACTCACTCACCCGCTCGCCCACTCGCCCGCCCACACGCCCACTCAATCTGTTTAAAAATTAGTTGCGAGAACCGCAATTAACAGTTAATCAATTGTTAATTGTAGTTTTCGCAAGCTGTTTCGCAATTGAAAATTAATTAATTATCAATCTTTAATTGCCTGAACATTTAAATTTTGCCCAACACTGGTGGCTGCTCACGCATGAAGATTCATTTTTATAAATAGCGCCTAAATTTTATTATAAGCAAAAATTATTTTAATGGTTGATTTTGCTGTTCTTCAATCAAGGCTGAGATCACGCTCGATTGCAGTCATGGTTAGTGAGGTGGTACATGTTAATTTTTCAAGTTAATCACGATGAAAATCGAATTTATAGAGAATATAGAAGGATAGCTATTGACTTACAATTATGTGGACGTCGGGTCCGCGCTAAAAAGTGTCGGAACTTATATGGCGTTAAAATCGTATAAAGAGCGTCATTCACGCTTTAGTGTTCGTTTGTTCGACTGACAGCGAAGCAAGCAAAATTAGACAGTGCTGCGATGACATTACTATTTAAATTCAACGTTTTAGATTTTTCATATTCCTTTACATGTCACTACGTTTAAATAGGTTGACTTGGGACATTTTTTTCGAGGTTTTTGTATTAGACCTGTCGTCCATTTATTTGTAAGTCAATGGGGATAGCAATTCCGTTAGTTACTCCAGTCGACTGGATAAAAAAGGCATGGGAAAATTTATGTCTGAAATTTATTGACAATTTTGAAACTGAAACTACAACTGAAAAAAACAAAGCAGGTGAGTTACTTTTAATACCTATATGTGAAGTGTGTGCCCCAAGAACTTTGACTCCTAACCTAACCTAACTATATATCTTTTGGTTCTGAAAACAAGTGTGAAGAATAATGTTAAACAAACGTAAAAATCCCAAAAACAAGGCGAAAATATTTACAAATATTTTTCGTAAATCGAGCTTTGTAACTATTTAATGGCAATATTACAATGTACTTTTGCAATCCATCGCGTAACTGAGTCGAAAGATAAAACATCACTAAAAATTTGGTCGCACTTCAGCAGCGCGACAGTCGCGCGGATGCAGCGCGCCTGGAGAGCTTCTAAAAGCGGCTAATATGATGCGCCTTAATTATAATTGAGCCTTAGAAAGTATCAGAAAATCGAAATGCATTCACCGAACTTCTGAATAGTTGCGCCGCTGTTTATATCAAGTGGTGGTAGAAAGCACCAGATTGTGAATGCCTGTCAGATCGATACCGATGAGACGTTACCCGACTATTACCTTTGTAATGGTCACGAAACGAAACGAAATACCTATTTCCAAAATTGTGTAAGTTGTAATCATTGACTTACAAATAAATGGACGACGGTAAATTAGCCGCTCCCATACATTTAATATGACATTCGTAGAGAGACTTTAGTTTCCCTACTTCAAGAGGTACCTGGCATTAAGTTTACAAATAGCGAAACTGCTTTAGGTAGATAAAGTAATCAAAATATGTTTTAATAAAAACAAAATGATGTTTATTTTAAGTAAGCACAAACTTTTGTATTCAAAGCAGTTGTTCGAAGTGACGGCCTTGTTGAGCGATACATTGACGAGCCCTATTCAGTTGCTAAATAAACTTTCCTTACAATTTGCGGAGTAATTAAAGCAATCGTACGACGTACACGAGTCTGTGCCTCTTCTAGGCCGTGTAATCTCTCAGCGTACAGGTTGTCTTTGACAAATCCCCATAAGATAAAATCACTTGGCTTAAGATCCGGGGATCTGCCAGGCCAACTTTCACTGTTTAACAGTGAATAAGTTGAGGATTCCACGCCAATGCCGCAGGCCCCGTGTGAAACCACCAACAGTCGAGCGAAGACCTGCCATCTTATTTTACGTGAGAGGTGTTACAGACAAGATCGGAAGAGTCCTCAGGCGTGCATCTATCAAGACCTATTTCAAGCCCCTGAGGAAGATTTCTCAGTTCCTGAGACCCG